GAGAGATTTTATTATTTTGTATATATGCCACAATGTCTTTATCCATTCACTCATTGATGGACACCTAGGTCGTTTCCATGTCTTGGTTATTGTAAATAATGCTGCAGTGAACATGGGGGTGCATGCATACTTTCAAATTATCATTTTTTGTTTTCTTTGGATAAAATCACAGAAGTAGAACTGCTTGATCATACAGTAGTTCTAGTTTTAAGTTTTTGAAGAAACTCCATAATGCTTTCCATAGTGGCCGCACCGATATACGTTACCACTAATGGTCCATAAATGTTCCCTTTTATCCACATCTTCAGCACTACTTGGTTTTCTTGTCTTTTTGATAACAGTCGTTCTAACAGGTGAGGTGATATCTCCGTGGTTTTGATTAGTACTTTCCTGATGATTCATGATGTTGAACATCTTTTCTTATACCTGCTGGTCATCACTATGTCCTCATTGGAAATGTGGCTATTCAGACCTTCTGCCCATTTTTTAACCAGTTTTTTGTTTGTTTGTTTTCACCTCTTTGCTGTCGAGTCACATGCATTCTTTACATATTTTGGATTTTAGCCATTTATCAGCTATATAATTTGCAATTATTTTCTCCCATTCAGTAGGTGGCCTTTTCATTTTTTTTTTTTTTGGTAGTTTCCTTTGCTGAGCAGAAGCTGAAAGTTTGATGTAGTCCCACTTGTTTATTTTTGCTTTTGTTGCTTTGGATTGAAAAAGTATCACCAAGACGTATGTTATGGGCCTTACTGCCTATGTTTTCTTCTAGGAGTTTTATGGTTTCAGGTCTTACATTTGAATCAATTCATTTTAAGTTGACTTTTGCATATGGTGTAAGACAGTGGTCCAGTTTCATTCTTCTGCACGTGGCTGTCCAGTTTTCCCAACCCCGCTGTATATTCTTGGCTTCTTTGTCGTAAATATTGACCGTATACGTGTGGGTTTATTTCTGGGCTCTCTCCTCTGTTCTGTTGGTCTATGTATCTGTTTAATGCCAATACCATACTGCGTTAAGTATTGTAGTTTTGTAGCATTGTTTGAAATGAGTGTGATGCAACCAGGTTTGTTTCTCTTCCGTAAGTTTGCTTTGGCTATTTGGTTAATTTTCACTTTAATTGGGATTTTATAGAGGAAAATTCTTACCTGTTAGATCAGTGGTTGGTGATTTTTTTTTTCTATAAAGGATAAATAGTAAATCTTTTACCTTCGCAGCATGTAAGGTCTCTGTCACAAATACTCAAATCTACCATTACAGTGTAAAAGGGTCCATAGACAATATGTAAGTGAATGAGGATCGCTGTGTTTCAGTAAAAAATTATTTTCAAAAACAAGGGCTGGGCCAGATTTGGCTCCCAAGAAGTAGTTCCCAATGCCTAGATAAATAGGAATTTTGGTGCAGTGCAGGATATGCTAGGGCACACTGGTATTTTGGCCACACCTTGTGGCACAATGAGAATGATTTTTTTTCCAAAAAAATTTTTTTAACGTTTTTATTTATTTTTGAGACAGAGAGAGACAGAGCATGAGCAGGGGAGGGGCAGAGAGAGAGGGAGACACAGAATCAGAAGCAGGCTCCAGGCTCTGAGCTGTCAGCATAGAACCCGATGTGGAGCTTGAACTCATGGAGTATGAGATCATGACCTGAGCTGAAGGCAGACACTCAACCAACTGAGCCACCCAGGTGCCCCGAGAATGACTTTTATCTACATGTGTTGCCACCTTGATTTACTGCTGACCCAGGGACACAGAGCTATAACCTGCATCACAGCCATTGCCCTGAACCAAAGACCTTAACTCTGAAATTTTATTATTTATTTATTTAATGTTTATTTCTTTTTGAGAGAGAGACAAAGGCAGAGCACAAGCAGGGAAGGGGCAGAGAGAGAGAGAGAGGGAGACACAGAATCTGAAGCAGGTCCCAGGTTCTGAGCTGTCAGCACAGAGCCTGACACGAGACTTGAACTCACGAACTGTGAGATCATGACTTGGGCAGAAGTCGGACCCTTAACCAACTGAGCCACCCAAGTGTGCCAACTCTCACATTGGAAACTCAATTTCTAGCTTGGAAACATTCCCAAGCAAAACCTGTTAAGTCTTTTTCTCTACATATCAAGAAACGATTGTGAAAAACTGAACCTCCCAAGAGGTTGAGATCATGTGACTTACTTTTCTATTTTCATCCGACACCATCCCTTCCAGCACGTTCTAGGCTCTATGCCTTGTTTCTTCATTAGGTCTTCAACAGTCTGTGTCTTCTGATACTTCCCCCAGCCCATTAATATTCCCATTGCTTCAAATTTGAAGGCTCTTTCTCTCCTCTCTGCTTGGTCAATCCCCATCCATCTTTTAAGGGCATGGGGCAAATGGTACCTCTGTTCTCAAGCTTCTCTGACTGACCCTCCTCCCACCTGCAACAACATATTATTCTTGTCTTATCTTTACTCCTAAAGAATGTCTTACACCATCATGGAGTTATCTGTGCGCGTGTCTGTCCTCTGGTGAAGAACAAATACCCTGACGAGCAGAACTGTGGGTGTTCATTTTCCTGTGTTGTGCATCCGGGATGGTGTGGGGGGGTCACAGCAAACACAACAGGTGAACGAATGATCTGTTCTAGTGGCATGGGTGCAAAAACATCATTAACCTTATGCATTCTAGACGAATTGCTATGCTTTATTAAGATATGTTAAAATGACTCAAGGATCAATAAAAGAGAGGATGAACTGGCCACTTCCCCTTTCGGTTCACAAACGAAAATGGTAAGTGGTAAATTTAGAAATTTTTTTCATATTCTAATTCTAATTCTTTTGCCTGGCCATTTAAAAACCACCAATGGTTGCTCATTCTCCCTCAAAATGAGAGCCAAAATGTTTCGCACATTGGCTGCACATTATTGTTACCTGGGAAACTAAAAAGATGCTCGCGCTTGGGGGGCGCCTGGGTGGCTCAGGTGGTTAAGCGTCCCACTCTCGGTTTCGGTTCAGGTCATGATCTCACAGTTTGTAGGATCGAGCCCTGTGTCAGGCTCTGCATTGACAGTGTGGAGCCTGATTGGGATTCTCCCTCTCTCTCTCTCTCTCTCTGCCCCTCCCCCACTTATGATGTCTCTCTGAAAATAAATAAACTTAAAAGAAAAAAAAAAGATGCTCATGCTTGGACTCCAACCCAGACCAATGAAATCAAGATCTCTGTGATGGAGAGACAAGAATCGGAATGCTTTGACTCTCATTGGTGATCACAATATACGCAGTCCACACTATGACCCACAGTGAGAGTTCTCTCCCTTAGTTATTTTGCACGGTAAAAGGTTTCATGTTAACTCAAATGCAGTGGGAAGTAACATGACCTACCTTACATATTATAAGGATCAGTGCAGATGGTAGACAGGGAAGAGTGGAAGATAAGTGGACCAGTTAGGAGGCCATCGATATAGGAAGTTATCGTAACACTCCTTGATTCTAGACGGGAAAAAAATGTGTCCTGCCTAATTTTTAGTTACTCACGTATTTCGTCTGATGACAATAACACATTTTGAGAGCATTCTAGCAAACTGCTGTTATATTGTGCACATATGTCACATTTGCCATGCCATAGATCCCCTTTTAATTATTGAAGGAGTTCATGCACGCTAAGCATCAGAAGCGTTATATAATTATGTCTGACGTGCACACACCTCACACGTGTAATCTGAGATAGCCACTGCCTTATAAACTTTTATGGTGCATTTTAAGGCATGTAAAATTTAATATGATTTTGAATAATCACTTTCACTTAAATTTCAGCAGTTAACACGCACACAAATTAAAGTTTATTAAGAAGGTAAATGCCTAATGGGCAGAAGGGCAAAAAACAATGCTGCTGAATTAAGAAAGAAGAATTTTTATTACACATTTCATTATCTTCGGTGCATTGTGTGATTTCTGCACAGCGATGCTTACGACTGGTTCTCCCAATTCTTAAAAGCCTGCCAAGATGTGTCATGGAGCTGCGTTTTGTGTTTCTCTCCCGATCTAAACGATCCTAATTGGAACATTCCTCTAATGGGAACGTCAACATGGGCCATATGGATGTCCCACCCATTGTTCACCAACCAGATGTCTCCTGAGCACCTACTATCATTAACAAAATTAGCCCAGTCTCTTCCATAAGAGACAATAGAATCTGAAAGATCCACTGTCTGGTAAATTCATGCATTCATTAAATATTCATTGAACTTCTGCAATATTCAAGGTATGTCTCTAAGAGTTTGGAAACTTAAAATGGAATCTGGCATGAACACACATACAGAAAACCAGTTCTGAAGTCACATGTGATAGGGAGTTAGAGCAAGTATCTGAATCAGCAGCCCCTAGTCAAAATTGTTATTTATCAGAAGGCATGAACATATCAAGTGCGTTGAGAGTATAGAGGAGAGGGCAATTATATCAGCTGGAGGTGTGTGTGGGGTAGGGGCGGGGTTGGGAAGCACTGTGAGAAGGTGAAGTGATCAGTTGTGGACCCGGAAGGATGAGCAGGATTGTGTATCCAGAAATAAGAGGGGTATCTTCCTTCTAACGCTGCCATGAGCAAAGGCAGGACGCAGCAAAGCCCAGAATTAAAGTAGAATTGTGTATGACTCTCACAAACATTGTGTGACTCAAAAAGCAGTCCTATTTCCTCAAAGGCTCAGTGCTTTCACTTGAGAAATACATCTACTAGGAGTGACAGTTTTCTTGGAAGGTTTGGCACTGTAGGAAAAGGGACTCTGATATCAAAACAGCCATTCCCCCACACAAGATATGTTTAAAATCAACAAAAGCCAGCTCGTTTGCCCCTAAATTATTACTTGACAAGTACAGACTGGCTTCATGTTAGTTGTTAACCAGACCTCATAATTTTGACACAGGGAGGGTTATTTTCTTGTGTGTGAGTGTGTGTGTGTGTGTGTGTGTGTGTGTGCGGTTCTTGTCCTTTTTTATATCTGAGTACTCTTCAATATTGCATTTATCCCAAGGTAGTCTTCTGTTTGTCCCTGTGCTGTGTGGCCAGCCCGGGCAGCGTCAGTGAAGCAGAGGAGTGCGGAGTTGATGGGAGGACCACGTGGAACCTCACGGAAACAGACAATCATAAGGCCACCCTTCCGCAGTGTGTTCTGTGGGAGGCGCTCTCCAGAGAACCTGTCACCCACGCACACAGTTACTGCCGCCCTAGCCAGGTGAGGTAAATACTGTCCTCTGTCTCTTCTGCAAAGAAGAATATCGAAACTCAGGCCACTCTAATGTCTTTCTGAAGGTCACATAGTTAGGGTATGACTAAGCTGCTGCTCAAACCCAGGTCCACCGAAAGCAAATACTCACCTCCACAACACCCTGCTGTTTCTCCTCAGAGTTCAGACCCTGTGCAAGGCTCCACTCACTTGCCTCAGTCCGTCTTCAGGCTTCAGTAGGAACAGTGCCCAGCTTCCCTAATGGGCACAAGACTTTTTAAACAGCCATTGTCGTTCTGTCTGAATTCAGTTCTCTCTCAAGAGCCAGGCCTACGCAGGCAGTCTCGAGGGCCAAGGAGGCATTGAGAAGACGCCAAAACTCATCCAACAAAGGAGGCCATGAGTAAATCAACATACTGATGGCCTGGGTGTGTGTGCCGTGCAGTATTCCAGCAGAATTCTACAGGAGCAACCGAATGGAACTCCGGAACAGAGCAGTCCCTGCAAGGCGAGATCTGAGGGCTGAGGGGAGGGTGCAGGGCGCATCCCTGGAAGCGTGACAGCCGTGGAATGCTGGACAAACGGTGGTTGCCAGAAGTCATCGATCCTTGTGGAAAGAGCTTTCACACTTCTGGCACTCCCTTTCTCTGGGCCCGAAACAGCAGTCTTCCAAGTGGCAAAACGGGTTCGTAAGAGGACATTAATAAGGAGACATGAGAGGACAAGACACGAAGTCATCATGGCCACAGAGAAAGGAGAGCTGGGGTTGGAGTTGGAACAAGGTCTGGAAGGGCAGGATCACAGGGGACTGTGCTGAGGTCGTGGCCAGCGGCCTCTCCATCCAAATGCCCAGCCTTACTGAGTCATGGCGTCTTGGCCCGGTGCGCACAGGACGGGCATCTGGTGAGCATTTCTGCTGTGCCGTTTCTTCAGCTTCTGCTTGCCTGGTTATCATGCAGTGTGATCACTCTTTATGTCAAGAACCAATGTAAACCAGTCCAGTCAGGGCCTCACCACTCACGATCAATTTCTAAAGAAGCTTAAAAGGCTTTAGAGACAACACAATTAAGGGAAGAACATTTGCTGTTAAAAAAAAAAAAGAGTGAAATTTGTCATTAGGAAAATATTTTAGACTCTGAGGTCAGTTTGGCAGAAGAATAATCACCAAGACATCAGCATTTCCACGTCAAAGAGACTCCAGTTCATGAAGGAAGGACTGGCCCAATTCTGCACTGCCGTTTTAGTTAATGGAGCTCACAACTGTCTATGACTGTAGGGAGGTCAATTCTAAACTCATGTGACACTAAAAAAAATTAATAAATAACAATAAAAATGTTTTTCAGGGGTGCCTGGGTGGATCAGTCGGTTGGGTGTTTGACTTCAGCTCCGGTCATGATCTCACAGTCTGTGAGTTCAAGCCCTGCGTCGGGCTCTGTGCTGATGCCTCGGAGCCTGGAGCCTGCTTCGGATTCTGTGTCTCCCTCTCTCTCTGCCCCTCCCCTGCTCATGCTCTGTCTCTCTCTCTCTGTCAAAAATAAATAAATATTTTAAAAAATTTAATGTTTTTCAAATTCCTAGAAAATAATATTCTACACCCCAAAATTGTTTTTAGTAAAATATTAGTGAACATACAACACTAACATATTCGTATGCAATAACTAAATGAAGGAAACGTTTTTACGTGTGTATGCAATACCAGCATTTTTGTATGCAATACCTAAATAAAAGAAGTGTTTTATGTGTTTGAGATTGTAAGTGGGCTACCACAAAAGGCTATTCCTGTCTTTTATTTTTAGAATGAGAGCAATTTTTTTTTTAATAAAGTTTATTTGTGCATTGAGAGAGAGCATGAGCAGGGAAGGGGCAGAGAGAGAGACAGAGATAGAATCTGAAGCAGGCTCCAGTCTCTGAGCTGTCAGCACAGAGCCCTATGTGGGGCTCAAACCCACAAGCCATGAGATCATGACCTGAGCTGAAGTCAGACGCTCAACCGACTGAGCCACCCAGGTGTCCCAGAACAAGAGCAATTTTTTAAAAATTTTTTTTAAATGTTTATTTATTTTTGAGACAGAGAGAGACAGAGCATGAATGGGGGAGGGTCAGAGAGAGGGAAACACAGAATCTGACACAGGCTCCAGGCTCTGAGCTGTCAGCAGAGAGCCCAATGCGGGACTCAAACTCACGGACCGCGAGATCATGACCTGAGCCGAAGTCAGCCGCTTAACTGACTGAGCCACCCAGGCGCCCCAAGAGCAATTTTTTTAAATAGAGTCTATTTATGGATTGAGAAAAAGCATGAGCAGGGGAGGGGCAGAGAAAGAGAGAGAGAGAGAGAGAGAGAGAGAGAGAATCCCAAGCAGGCTCCGTGCTGTCAGCGTGGAGCCTGCCACAAGGCTTGATCCCATGACCATGAGATCAAGACCTGACAGGAAATGAAGAGCCAGATGGTTAATGGAATGAGCCACCCAGGTGCCCAAGGCTCTCCTTTCTAAGAAGATACAAGGAGAATGATTTAAATTTGAAGTTCATTTAAGTGGACAAACTTGGAGGCAATGACTTGCACTACGCTTAACACATGCTGATTATGTTTCTATGACTGCAGTTTTTGCCATACTACATTTCGTGTAAAATAATTATTTCTTGATAGCATCTTAATAACTTTTAGTATGACTCCATGAGTTATTGGATCTCTTTGTAGGAAAAACTCCATCATTATTTTTTCTTTGTAAGAACACATAAGTTATCTTAAATGCATTCACTTCATTCTAGAAGTTTAATAGTTTCAAAGTGTAGTGATCTTAGAGACGGAGCGATACAATAGGAAACAAGGCACAGACTTTGGTCTCAGGGTTTACGACATAGAGGCAAGGAAAGAAAACAAAAAAGTCACTGTATGTGCTGCACATCTAGCATAACGGACTCATCTAAATCTGAGTGGAAGGAGTGGGTCTGGCTATCAGGGATACTTTAAGATCAATGTGCTAAGAAGTAGAATGGTTTGGGTAGGAAAAATGCGCTACCATTTTGGGCACCTGGGTGCTACATAGGACAAATCTACTTATTCATCAGTTAATAATGGCTTTATATTTCTGACCAGCATCTCCCAGTTTGATGATGGAGGCACACTACCTCCTGCCTTTGCCAGCCCTTAGGAGAGGCTTATGTCCTGCTCTGGGGAGCTCTGGACTGGAGTGGTGATGAGCTGCAGGTGCACGGAAAGGTGCTACCCACATCTGCTCCTTCTTCTCTGCTCTTCTTCTAGGTTGGTATTTAGTTGGAATTTTTGTAAGAAATGATATGGGGTGTGGCAGGGGCATGGTAGCTCTCAGGGGCTGTCACATAAACACTGGTGAGCCACTGTTTTTACACCAAATTGGTCTATATTTTCTTTGCGTACATTGCCCATGAAACAACATCGATGCATTTGAAATTACAACAGATGAGAATTCTCTACATTTGATTATTATCAGATGTAGTAATCAATCCATATGGCAGGGGGATACACTCTACTCTCTGCTTAAGAATTATTTCTAGAAAGTTATATTATAGAGAGGGGAAAGCCAAAATAGAAAATACATAGATAAAAATAAATAGCATGGAAGCAATATTAGTGTTTGTTCCAGTCAAAGTGCTTGTAATAATAATGAGAAATACCAGTGACAAATAATGCATGCGAAGCTATTTCGTGTTTGTGTCTAATTGTTGTCAGGGCCGTGTAACTCGTTGATAATGGGAAACTGGTATCAAACACTCAGATAGTTCTGCCACTGTTTATATTTGATCCTTAAGGTCGAACAATCTCTGTCTTATGATTAAACAAGAGAATATTTCTAAATGACGTTCCTGAAAAAATGGTCAAAAGGCCTATATGCAAAATGGGCCCATCTGAAGTATGAGACTGTCAAAACAAATTCTTCCAGGAGGGATAAGAATACATGCATGATTTAGCTTGATAAAAATCTAAAAGTTGTTCAAAGTTATTATCCTTCAAGTGAAAGAATTTATGAAAAATGCAAAACCAGAGGACGGTAATTGGAATAAATTAATTCGATTTGATTCAAATTATATATTAAATATGCATTACGTGCTCAGTGCTGAGCTCATCATGTCAACATTTCTCTCTGTCCTTTATGTAGATGGTTTCGTTTAAAAAGGTCCTACTTCTTTACAGATTTACAAAAGCAGGAGGCATTGAAAGGCTGAATTTACTATTTAAAGTCATGAAGACACTCGGTTTAATTGTGGGCAAATATACTGAATAAGAGGACAATATAATAATAGTAATAATCAGAATCGTCACCACGACCACCATCATCATCATCACCATCATCACCCTCATCATCACCATCATCATCACCATCATCATCATCACCATCACCATCATCATCACCATCATCATCATCACCATCACCATCATCATCACCATCATCATCACCATCACCATCACCATCACTATCATCACCATCACCATCATCATCATCATCACCATCACCATCATCATCACCATCATCATCACCATCACCATCACCATCATCACCATCATCACCACCACCACCATCATCATCCCCACCATCACCGTCACCATCATCAGCATCAGCATCATCATATAACAAATTGGAACTTTTCCTAGTAATGCAGTTTCCCGTTACTGTTATGGACACAGGTAAACCCAAACGAATGTGTCTGCATTCAGGAAACACAAAAACATCAGGACTCAAGGGTCTACCACTGAGGCAAAAATGCCCTGGCAGAGATCATTTTTTCCTCTTTACTACATTATGCACCACATACTTCGTTACCACATTCTGTTTCCTTTTTTTGTTACCAAAGGAGAGTTGACACACAATGTTACATTGCTGATAGATGTACAGCGTAGTGATTCCTCCAGTTCCATTTAAATGTTGTGCTGTGCTCACCACAAGTGTAGCCAACATCTGTCACCGTGCAACACTATCTGCGACACTGTGACCGTTTTGCCTATGCTGTGCCTTTTATTCTCATGATTGATTCATTCTATCCCTGGGAGTTTATACTTCCACCTTTTCATTACTACATTATTAATGCAGTCTCTTTAACTGGAACATCATACTTTTTGGTTTAGGATGTGTTTTGTTGCATTAGTGGCTATTGAAAATCCCAGGTGAACCTATTCCGTGGGCTGCTAGACAGTTCAAGAAGGTTAAAAGCCAGGTAGAGATGGGGGTAGGCCACAAAGAGCAAGAACAGGGCAAAGAAAATGGTTCAAGCCGATTGGTATGGGGTCCGAGTTTAATTTTATTGCCACCTTTCTTGTAGTGCTCAGGAATCTGGGCCTTATTTGAAGGTGGTTGTAGATGTGGCCATTGGATGAGTAATTGCTACTTTTCCCTATGAAAATCTGTTTCTGAAATTAATGGTATTGCTTGCCACGAGAGGCAGATAGTTCTTAAAACCTTTGCAGAAATAAAACTTAGGTAATTTGACATTAACTATAGTGAGTTTCCTGCCTGAGCCTCTAGTTTAACATGGAGGCCTTAAGAATGGGCCAATGTTTTCCAAGAAAATATGCATTGCTATACTTCATCAATTAGTTTGACAAATCATTTAGCACCTCCCCTGGGCCAGGCACCAAGCCAGGCCCTGAAATTGGGTGGTGGGTGGAGCAGATATGCCGCTCTCTTGGAATTAAAGTCAGCCCTTAGATCCTGATTAAATGTTCTTGTGCCATGTTCTTCAGAGGCCCATAGTTTGCATCTATTTCCTCCCATTCATGTTACAATTCCTTTCTACAGAATTCTGGACTTTACACAGTCTATTTTACCATTGGTTTTCTGTCAACCAAGTTGCTTCAAAAAAGTTTGTTTGGGAAAATACACAGGCTACTCATGAAATGAAACTAATAGGGCACGGTTGAATTTTCCAAACCTCGGTGGAAAATTATACTGAGTGTACCCTGACTTCTACTTCTGAGTTTATTTCCCAGACTGATCTATAAGCTCTGCTGAAAGGCAGACTAACTTACTTATGGATCAATAATAAAGTTCAGGAAAGATGGATGTTAATGAAATGGCTGAATATGAAACACTCTAGAAACTTCAGTAATGCTTGCTGTAAAGTTGAATAAAAATATCATATTTGGTGGCAAAATATATAAGCAAAAGGAATTGACACAGAACACATTTTTAGGTATTCGTTATAAGCTGCAGATTTTGACCTAGCATTTGAAGTCAGTCACTTCTTAGAAATAATCTTCCAACAGATTTTATGACTGTTACAAAATAGAATATACACATAAAACCACCAAGAGCACCCACATCTTTGCCTTTTGCGGGATATTAGTATGGTATCTTGACATAGATAAGTCTTGAAAATGCCTAATGCATCCAAAAGCCCTCCCGCTTAGTGGGGATATTCACAGCGAGACCGATGAGGAAATTGGCATATCCAGATGAAGCATAGTTGGGTGGTGTTCACCCGTGAACCCTAGATCATTTCTCTGCTCTTTTGCCAGCTATTCCTGTGAGCAACAGGGCTCAAGCCCATAGGAGACACCACAGAAAATGCTTTAACGTTATCGAACCAAAGGGTGAAACAGTTGAGATTTTTCTTCCAGCTTTCCATCTGTCATTGATTTGATGGCTGCTTGCGAGGACATTAATTTTCTGGCGCTTCTGACTTGCTCTGCGTGTCGGCCACGTGTGCTCCCTCAGCCAGAAAAATAAAACTAGCCCTTATGTGATTGCAGCAAGAAAACTTGATCTTTTAGAGGTGAATTCTGAGGGGATACGAACACTGAAACCACAACATCTACTACGGAGACACGTACCTGAAATACGTCTTGTCATAAGACGGATTCAAGCTGGTGGGCCCGGGTTCGAATGCTGATTTGCTACGTAATCTTGATTGAAGCTCGTAAATTTTTATAGCCTCGGTGTCTTCATCTATAAACAAAAACAATGCCTCCATTAAAGGACACTTGTACAGGTTAGATGGGGCTATGAATGTACAGATTAACACAGGATTAAGCACTTATGACAGCCTAATGACTAGAAACTTGTTGTTCGGTGAAGTATTTACTAAGTATGTACTATGTGCCAAGCCCGTGGTAGATGTTAGAGATGGAGATGAATAAAACAAATGCAAAACCTCATGTAGCTGTGTTCCACTGGGAGAGATACATAATATTATATGGATAAAGAAGGTGGAGTTTAGAGACGCATTGACTTGCCCAAGGTCGCGCGGCAATGAACCCTGAAAACTGGGATGCAGAATCAGCTCTAGCTCTGATGCGTGTGCATTTTTGTAATGCGTAGTACCACCTGCCCAACACACCTGTTAAGAGTAAGATGGTTATAAGGCATGTGTCAAAGTGGGGTCCATGCAGAAAATGAGGTCTCTGGAACGAGTCATTAGAGGGCTTGCTTGCCTGGTGACTGGAGGGAGGGGGAGGTGGGGACTTCATACACATCCTTGCAGCTAATGACTGCTGCGTGGTTGGCTTAGAATTTGGAGGAGTAAGACTATTTGGCAGAAGATGCACAAAGTTAAAGGAGAGATGCCATTTTCTGTTAAGCAGAAGAGACGCCAGCTGGGTATTTTCTCCAGATGCTATTCCTTGAAAACAGAGTACATACAAGTAGCTGGAAACAGCAGTCACCCTTTCCAGGGCACCCTGCTGGATGGGCTGAGCTGGCACAGAAATGGGACATTTTCAAAGAAACGTAGTTTTATTATCTTCAAATATATCTGTTACTGCTAGGAACAGGTGAATAGGTGAGGGAAAGAATGTGACATAGGGAAAGATAAAATTCAGCCGAAAACCATGCTTTTAGTTTCTATCGCTTTGCGATCTTGGGTGTGTTTCTTTCACCACTTTGATCCTTAGTGTTCTGTAGCATTGAGATTATATTTGAAATCACATGTATTTCAGAAAGCCGTTATAGAGGCTAACCTTGATAATATGTACGTTACCTAGATCTCCACCAGCTTGGTTAAAAATGAAGTCAAGTAAACATTAATAGAACTTTTGCTAACTCCGTATTTTCCTGCCAATTTTCTGAATTCTTTAAGTGGTGTCTTTCTATCAGTTTTTGCATCATTCGAAGTTGCCACGTGCTCCAGGCTTCGGTCCCCTAAAACCGCACAGATGTCTCTGGCCTCAACCACTCGGAGAACTCTCTGGATCTCGTAATATCCTTGCAGTGCTTACAAGATGACAGTCATGTTAGGAATGAGAAGACGAGCACTCCCTTCTCCAAGCTGGCTCGGTTGAGAGAGGTCCCACGTCAGGTGTCTGGGCGCCTAAATGTTGAATAATTGACATATCCTGTCCACCACCCCCGCTCCCACCCATGTCTCCAAAATCATACTGGGGAACTTCTTTTACATCACATGGTCAAAAGAGGGCGGAGCCAGGAGGAATCAGAGTCCAGGGCGGCTTGCCGAGCCAGCACCCTCAAACACTCAACTGCATCTGCCTGGCCGTGGAAACGGCCTTTCAGGTGAGATACAGCAGGTAACCCTCCAGAGAATCCGAAGAAGACCCTGTGCCTTCCCCCTCGCTGGCCTGTGATTGCAGAAGCTCCTGGTTCATGTTTGGCATCCAGCTCAGTGAGGTGGACGCTCACCTCGGTGGGTCTGTCGTCCCCCATAAGCTTTCTGTTCGCCAGGCTGGGGCTCCAGCTCCCACACCAAATCTTTTTTTCTGCCACGTTCCTCTTCTTTCCAGCAAACAGATCTTCCTGCCACTCTTCAAGTTAGAGTGGCAATTCTCTATGAATTTTCATTGTCTTTCCCTCCGTCCCCCTCCCCCTAAAGCTGTAATTTTTGCCTTTCTGATTTCACACTTGCCTAACTTGGGGATCCCACTTCCCGAGGTTATGTATTCAAGCCGCGAAAGAACATGACCTAGGACCCTGTCTACTGGGGAATCTTGATTGGAGGGAGTTAATCTTAAATGTTCAGGTCAATTCCTAGACACGCCCCAGGCAACAGTCACAAGAATCCGGATAATTGTCCAGGCTCTGCTTCTCGAGCTCCACCTCGAAATTGTGGTCTTTGTTCTTACCTGGTTTCCTCTCTTGCACCTTTTTACTGCCCTCCCCAAATGCCTTCATAGTAACTCCTGTTCGGACTGAATGCTTGCATTTTTGATTAACATCTTCCCGAATACACTGTCTGTTCAGCCTCCTAGATCTTAACCACTGTCCCAACCCAGACAACCAGGAAAGTGATTACTACTCTTTTGGTTGTTGTATGTCACTGCTTACTGTCAACTGTTCCAACTGTTCAGCCCACAAAGCTTTTTTATGCTTACATCAA